CTTGATCGAAAGTCAAATGAATCGTATAGAATGCGTGGTTGATCTCTAGTTTTGAAGCTTGTGTTTTATTTCATAGGTACGTGTCCTCGATTTCTCGACAGGACAATATTTTGCATCCGGCCCTTGTTGTAGATCTGGTGCATGACAAATGTGTGGATGCCACTGAAAGCCTGTACGACAGGCGCGAGGTAGAATCACCCTTAGGTTCGCCAACCGTAGCTCCGGTTATTGAGGAACCCAAACAAAAACAGATGGTTGTTTCGTTTTCAACTTCAAAGATCAACTTTTGTTTTCTACAAGTTGCATCTGTTGAGCACAGTGAAATTCCAGGCTCTCCGGAATGCTTCGTAGAAGAAGAAAAGTCGCCGTCGGTGTCTTTATTGGCGGGAACCGTTAGTGGCATCACGGCGGAACTTCTGTCGGTTAGGCGGAAGCCTGCAGCGGAGGAGACCGAGGTGCCGAGGAGAGATTCCAATGTGTCATACACGATTGCCCCTTCGAGCGCCAAACAAACTGCTAAAACTGTTGATCTGCAATCCTTGTCCAAAGAAGAATCTATGTTACCTTATAAGAAGGTACCGCGTCATCGGAACACCATGACAACCGGTCATGCCTCCTGTGCGCAAATTCACTTTCAATTGCGGAAGTTGTGTGACAAAGAGGACATTGAGAATTGTGTGACAACTGCCATAGCTGAAGAGTCGGCACGATGCAAGTTCCAAGTAAACAACAGCAGTTATATAAGCTTCTCAGACCCCTTTGAAACGCAAAGTGTCGAGCGCGGAAAAACACTTAGTTTATTAATGCTGGAATGCGGCCTCGATAACGTTTCATTCAAAGCCGGAAGTGAGTGTGCGAGCGGAAGTGAAGTGTTGCCGAAAATAAGGGAGAAAAGGCGAGCCGCTGGCCATCAAAGTAAGGTGAACAGGCTCCCGTTTGGAGAAAAGAGCAAGGGAGGAAATATAGAAGCTCACGGGTTTAACAATCCTATGTTTGATACAGAGTTAGGTGTGGCTGGAATGCGTTCATCCCTCGCTGAACAGGAACAAGTATCAGATACGAGTTTGAGTCGAGCTAGTTCTTTGCCGTCGAGTCGTGGATCCGTCAGCAGCCGTAGCAGTGGAAATGATTCTGACAAAGAAAGCGATGCTGATGACGATGTTACCAGGCCTCTACTTCGTCCAGGAGATCGCGTCGTGGTAAAAGGAAAAGAAAATTCAGACTTGATTAAACAGGGGGAGATCGAACCGAAAGACGCAGATCTCGCGCGGCGAACGGACGTAGCCATGAATTTCACCAACATCTGGTTCAATCTGTCGTCGCCCTCTTCTTTGAAAACTGTTCCCTCAAACTATCACTTATACAATAGTCTCGTCACGACTGCAGTGCCTTTCGTGACAGCCTGGATCCCGTCTGTCACACAACTGAAGTCAACTCTCAATAAATTGGAAGAGAATCAACAACGATTTCTAAAGAGCTTGTTTGCTTGTCTGCTGGCTCAGGCGCTACCTGAGTATGGACGGATTCCCAAAGCGGTGAGTCTTAAAATGCTGTTTTCAAGAGACCAAACTGCAACTTAGTTCCCTAAAATTTCTTGAAAGTAGAATCACACAAGCATAAAATTTACGTGATTGAACTTATTAAAATTTTACGAAGCTAGAGTTACATTTGTCTAAAGGTTGCATAACAAGGCTCTTGAAAATGTGTAATTTACATGACTTAGCTCTATATATTGTGACAAAACCAGAGTCACGGAAGCCTAAAGGTTACTTTGATTTTGTTTTTAGCACACTGTAACCCGTGGTTCGACGGAGAAATCCAAATTTTTACAAGAGGACCACTCCAGCCAACTTATTTATATACTCCGAAGGCAGCTAACAGGCTCCAAACTCAACAAAATAAAACACTCGCTAGCTGAGAAAGCAAATATCCCAGAAAACGAAAACCTTGCTAAAGGAATCTTCGCCCTGGCAAGACAATGGAAGTGTTTTCTGGCGGGGACTGAGGCAGGTGAAGTCGCGTTCTACGGGTCCAGTTCACTGAAGCGTCGGGTAGTCGGACGTGGAGTACTGACTCAAAGAGACAGGGCTATTTTACTGAGGGAGGAGAGAGTGAGTAGGCAAGAAGACACGCCATTGGATTTGAACATTCCACAAGTAACAGAGACAGCAAAGGAGCGTCCGTTGTTAACTAAAGCAGACCAATCAAAATATGATGGTATGTTTTGATTCAAATTTTTGTTACACTTTACATTTATAGGGGACAGTTACATCAGCTATTGTTGTATTTTATCAAGTGTGACCAAATTCCTTTACGGGAAAGATGAACTCTCTAAAACGTGCCTCGTTCCCAACCTATGGCTTCGGTACCTGGTTGGTAGTAGCGCCCATCCAGTATCTGAGAGGCCTGGGTTCGAATCCCGTCGCAGCCTGATTTTGTGCAGGCTTCGTTTTAGTAATTGCTAAAATTGCAGTCCATATGCGAGGATTGTTTCTTTGGTTGATGGTTCTGTATCCAACTGTATTGGTTTTTTAGAGGGATTTCTAAAAGACACACCAGAGAAAATAGCAAAAGACTCTTTAGCATTGGAGCTTGAACCATTAGTTCCTGCCAAAAAGTCCCCGAGGCCAGTCCACTTGGACGTACCCAGACCGAGGATAGAGGCGTCTCAGGAGTCTGAGACGGACTCGGATTCATCCCCACCAACCACTATGAGGAAGCCACCTAAAGCCACAACATTTGCGGAAGGTAGAAAGCTCGGACACAACAAGAAGTTGAGTTTATACAGTTGGCTATCATCGCCGCCCACTACCTCCCCTCCCACATCACAAACAAAGGCTAACGTCGAGGCAGGAGTGGAAACGAATACAGGAGAACAGATAAAAGGTAGAAGAAATCTTTGTTGTAGACCACAGTAAATGTTCGAAGCAGCGCTGTGGGCGCCCCTGTAGACTACTGAGACGTGGAAGGTTGCTCATTTGGTTGTACTCGGTTTTACTGTAGATGGTGTGAATGAATGAGTTTCTCTTTTTTTTCCCTTGCTTATTTAGACTTAATTTCCAAACCTTCCTCTCCTGAGGAACCCGGCCTGTTTAGCGACATGGTCAGCGTACCGACCAGCGGTAAACAGATCAAAGACGAGCGCGAGACTTTTAGGAACTTTCTGCAGGCCATAAATCTGATTCCAAGGGTTGCTGAACAACAAGATACGGCCAGCACGTTCTCTGTGAGCACTAAACTGAGGTACCTACACGTGCATTTAGTGGATGGAGGCTTTGATAACCTGGCTAAGAAAGGAAAGGGAAAAGGAAAGAACCGAGTGGAGACTGAGGATAGGAATAAGAGACGCCGCCAGGTAGGTGGCGGCAAGAATGCAATTTTGTCGTCTGCTTTTGAGCTCTTTGATTTTGAATTTTCCTTTGTCCCACGCTCTTGCCAAGACGAAAAAACACATTTCTTTATTTCTTTACTATATTTCTTTACTAAGTTTATAGTCTCTGTGGCTCAGCACCGGAGCGCGGAATCCGAAGGTCTGAGGTTCGATTCCTCAAAGGGACTCTCATTTTTTTTCTTTGTCTCACGCTCGTGACAAGACGAAAAAACATCTTTCTCAACATGAAATTAGATAAAATCTCTACTGGTATTTTTTCTTTGCTAATGTATATGGTGAACAACGTACTTGTAAATACAGATACAACTTTACACCAAAAATTTTGCTTCTGAGCTTAGTTTTTATTGCAAAGAACTTGCTGCTTGTATTAGTTCACCAGTTCACAGCTGGAGTAGTGGACTGCGAAATCGGAAGGTCGGAGGCTAAATTCCTCGTATGGGGCAATACAGGAGATGAGCGAAGGACATGCTCGGAGGCATCGATTTGGGTCTCCATTGAAATTGAAATTTGAAAGGAAAACTTAAGAAACAATCGCTGTCTCTCAAAATAAGCGAATAAAAATAAAACGTTCATAGAAAAGTGTCAAAGGAAACAAAATTAGAGACTTTTTAAACACAAAGCTTATTCAGGTACGGGTATCTTGTTAATTTACCACTCTCTTATGAGCGTCACCAAACGCTGGACTTACTGGCTTTTGCTGGTAACATTTGTGAAACAACTTAGTTCTGAATGCCTGAAAGCACGCTACCTAGTCATTACAATGTTCGCACGTGCGTGGACTCCTTACCATTGTGTTGTATGGGACATTTTCCATGTCGTGGCCGCGAAAAAATGAGTAGCATCTTTCTTTATTTGCCGACTAAGCCTGATCGTATAGTTATATCTATTGAATTCTTCATGCCTATATCTTTATTGCAGGAGAGAGACCCAGTATTCATCGCCAGAGACTTCGTTTTTAGGTTTCTTTGTGATGAAACTCCTCGAGATATTCTTCCCAATTGGACTCCAGTTAACAGTTTTTACTCAATGAAGGAGAACAACAAATTGACGCAGGTCAACTTTACCGTGGGATGTGGCAACATCACGCAACGTGTCAATCTCTCTTTCCTCCGTCTGGTTCTACAAGTTGTGGACATGCTCGAGTTACTGTCAAATTTTGTCTCCAAAAACAATGAATGCGAAATACCGCTGACATCTGGAGACCAAAGTTTGATGTCCCCTGAAGACCACACTGACGGGGGTCTGCCGTTGAGGTCAAAAGTGCCCCATGCAGCTGCAAGGTGTTGGAGAATAATGTACCAGGTTGTTGACCTTTATTCGTCGCTACCGCGTGAGGCCAAAACTAAGGGCTTTTTGAAGCGAAGTACCCTCGGGAGAGTATTAGGAGGTGATACATGAATCTAATATTTTAACTTGATCTTCTTTTGAGTTTACACTTTCCTTTCCATTCTTTTGCCGTTCTTACCGTCTCTCTTACGTGATCGCCACACAGAATGCATAAGACTCCGTTGATCCATTGCAGGACGCTTGTCACATGTGAGACCATTACATGGTTCAGCTCTCTGCATAATAACAGTAATTCAACATATTTCTTTATGCCCCTTGCTAGCTGACAAAATGTCGCCAGATAAGCCACGTGATGTCAAGATCGATATTGAAGACGGTGCGATAGAAGATGGTAAAAGGCGCCGCGCCCGCAGCTCAGGGAGTCCTGAGAAAAGACGTTCAGCGGCCAGCCGCAGCACCACTGAAGCAACTACCATAACGGATCAGGAGGATGCGAAAAGTGTGATACCGCTCTCCACAGTGTTTGGTGTAGTGACGTTACCACGGGTTAAACTGCTGGCTAGTATTGGCGGGCTCATACTGGAGACAGAGCTCAGAGAAATAAGTGTGTCGTTTTGTAAGAAAGAGAAGATGGAAAAAAGCTGTGAAGGTCAGCAATTTTTTGAGTGTTTTTTTGTCTCTTGAACTAGGAAACTGTTTTATATAAATTCCTGGTAATACTATTTATACAAATAGTTGTATTTATAGTGAAACTTTAAATACTTTCTCACCCACATTCGTATAAATTCCTCCAACGTGTAATACTTCATTTTGCGACAGTTTCAGACCATGCCGCGTCCTCCGTGACGGCTCATGTAGGAAAAACAAGAATGGATCTGAAAGAGACGTCGAAATATGCCACAGGGTAGGCAAGGAGTGTCAGTTTAATAATAATAAGGTTAGGAGAATAAGGAAAATGATCATGATCTGAAGAAGGAATGTATAGAGAACAATACCTGAGATAAAGTCCTCCTGCGAGGCTGTCTGACGTAGCTGCTGGAGTTTATTCGCTTTCTCAAGTATGAGCCGGTCCCGGTTATTCTGAAAATTTTGGGAGAGTGTTTTTATTCTAGCAAATTGGCGAATTTTTGTCCTGTGTGGGAAAAACGCTTGGCAGCTTAAATAACTGACACAAAATTTCAGCTGAGAATTATTTTTGCGATGTTTTGGTCAAGAGGCAAAACTTTAACAACTATAGCAATGATAAATGTATTATCTTCGAATTTCATCATTCGTTGAATCGTAAGTTGAATCGTACGTTGGGTGGGGGGGGAGGGGGGCATGCCATAGTTGATTCGTGTATGGATATCTTGATTGAGTCGAATTACTCAGTGTCTCATGACTAGAATTGCGCGTGAACGTTAGAAGTTAAACGTTGACGTTAAAGTTAGCGCGTTATAAAGTTCTTTGCTACACGGTAGAGGTTTAGCGCGCCGCCTATTTGGCCAGAGATGCCCCCACTGATATCTGTGGACTTTATATATATCGTCGTTTTTCCAACCTTCTTAGGACCGTAGTGAGCTGCAATTTGTCTCGCTCTCATGCTCTCTACTCTTCCGTCACGCAATCAAGCGAGGAGAAAGGTAACGCACTGGTAACGTTGGGAGTGGTTGACATCGACATCCCTCAGCACCCCGTTGCGTTACACTCAATGATGACGCGAAGTTCACGCACTATATCGCGACACATCTCAGAGATTCAAAGTCAGAGATCTGTCATAAGGTAAACTGATTCACTAGTTGAGGCCCCTATTGGTGAGGACAGTTTTCTTTTCCTCATGATTAAGTCAGGAAGTTTGAAAATGCATAAATACATATATAAAACCTGAAGGCTATTCAAGTGGAAAAGTTGATTTAGGGATGAAATAAATAAGTCAAGATGCATTTGTAAAATACATGATATACAACACATCGTGATAGGTCAAGAAACTATCGTGTACTGCTCTTATATACCCATAGCTGTTTAATTGAAGCGGTATACTGCACTTTCTAGTGGTTCATTGGGCGTAATAACCCATTCGGAATTGAGGAGAACACTAGTTGATAATATTACTTGGTCAACTCAGTTGATGAAACAAAATGATATTGAAATACCCCCCCTCCCTCTCACAGACGCAGCAGTTTCTTCAGAAACGTCCCCCCCTTAATTAATTGCTGATTACGAGACGAAGAAGAGTTATCTAGAAAGTTTTGTGTCATTCTTCATGCATTCCGCGCTGGTTATTTCATCGATAAACTGGTAGAAAATGCGGCTACTATTGTTTAAAGAACTGAAGACATTTTGTCTCCTGTTTGTATGAAGTTATTAATCGTTTTCCTGATTGTGTTTCATAGATCAATGGCGAGTCTGGAGACTCGATCCCAGTCCCGCCTTGCTAACTCTAGGCTTTCTGGTGTGCCACCTGATTTCTCTAAGTTCGCTCAGCTTGTGTCTCCGTCATCTGTTAAGCCGTTTGCCCCATGGGATCGTGTAGACGGACCCTCCCCACTCCCCACAGTGGCCAGAATCTCTTTCACTTGCGTGTTGAAGGGTTTTTGCCTCGGAGCCTCGCTGCTGCCTTCTCTTCGAGCTGAGTACAAGGTCAGGCGGGGTCTTACGTGTCTCCAGAATTGAAAATTAGAGAAAGTCAACCGAGAATGAATTGTATTATTTCCCAGAAACAATTACCACTAGTACAATCATTCAAACATTCACTAATTTTGTGGAAATTTTTTTGTTGGAAAAGTTGGAACTTTTAAGACCTTGTAGATCGTAATGTGTCAGAGCACTTTTCAAATTAATGACGTAAAATTGAAACAAAGTCACAGCAGCCGCTCAGAGAGAAGGTAAATCTCACAAGGAGTCATTGAGAACTTAAAACAAGCGGACTGCCTTGAGCGCTAGAAACTCTTTTGGCAACTCTCGGCCGGTGTCAGTTATGCATGTGATTGGTTGAGAGAGTGGCGCAACTTTAGACCAATCGCAAGTCGAGTTGACACAAAATCGACGCATACTCGGATGAATTTCGACACTCGATTGAGAAGTGGTCTGTTAAAGTATTTTTGGGAAGAATTGTCAACGTGCCAGGGGAGAAATCGTTTTGACATATCGTGGAGACACGGAGAACAATGCTGAAAACATTTGTCCTTGCGAATAAAATTTTTTGTGGGACAGGTCGCAAAAAGTACAAACCGATTTAAATTTTTGCGATGATCGCAGCTGTTAAAATCATAGCCTGCACACTGAGCGGTTAATTTTGTTTCCTCGTGTATTTTCATTTACAAGTTATAGGTTGTATATAGGTTTTTACATTTTTCTCCGTAGATTGGAAGAGTGACAGGATCAGGTCGCACAGGAAAAAAAAGCACTTTTAAGTTGGCCATGCCGGCTCACAATCTGAGTTTTACTTCTAAGGTAAAGCGTTTGTGAAAAATTTCTAGTAAGTAAGTAAAGCATCTTATGTGCTGCGTCGGCTGGCTTTGAAACACTTGCCAGTTGAACGTTGAAAATAAATGATATGAAAACTCCGGCAAACGTATATCTTCCTAAAATCCAGGTGCTTTCCTTGTTTCCTTGATGAAGAAGCAACTTTTATCTCGCTGAGTTATTCTCGCAACCCTGGATCTTTTGACACAGCAGTCAATAGTCGTGCATGCGCAAGAAGATCAATTACAGCTGGCCGCACACCAATTTCCCGCTCAAAATTTCTGGGAAAAATATAGGAAGAAACCGCTGTGCCGCGAAATAAGCTAAAGATCAAAACGTTCGTAGAAGTCTGTTCAATGAAACAAAATAGGGAAAAAGGAAAACTCGAGACTTTTCGAACACAAAGCTTATTTAATCACTGGTAACCATGTTTATTTACCATTCTGTTTTGAGTTTTGCCAAAAAAGTCGTACGCTTTTGGAACTGTGTTCTCTCCCAAATAGCCTTTTGCTAGGCTCTTGGTCAGCGGAGACAAGCTGAAAAGCAGAAAAGAGTGGCGAGATTGCCGCTGCCGTTTTACTTATATCTCAAATCTAACCTTTTTGTGTTACTCGACTGTTTTCTGTAAAGGTTCAGTCCTTGGATAATACAATCCCGCCAGCTACAGTTGTGGAACTACCCCCAGTCCACTTGGAAGGTGAACTAATTTCCAAGCCTCCTCGGCCCGCCCGAGCCAAGGAAGGTCCTTCGGAGACTGGGGAGAGTTTTCTTCGTCGTTCCACGCCTAAAAACTATCTGCACGTATCTGCGGAAATCGGTGCCTTCCAGCACAGCCTCACTACAGATCTGTTGAACCATCTTGTGTTTGTGCAGAAGAGCTTTATGAAGGTAAGTGTGTTTTAATCATGTTTGATTTTCAAATGATATTGTTTGTAGTCCATGTTTAACACTAGTTTACTTACACACACTGCCAGACACACATAACTCGCACAAAACCTACTGTTAATAAAGGCACGTAACTTATTTGCACATCTATCATCTATCCATTCGCTCGGAAAGAAGGGCTAAAGCTCGAAACGTCAGCTCTGAAGCTCTCAACGGTGGCCAATTAACATCATCAACTCATTTGATGGTGCCAAATTTTCCTGTTATGCTCCCCCACAGACGCAGCACCACAGTCTCTTAGAATCTAACCCCTTTGTTCATCTAAATATAACTTGCATCATAATTGCTGTAAAAATTCCAATTATTTTTTAAATATACAATACTAACATCGCTCACAAAAATGACAGAAAATTATGATAATTGAAAAATAGTAATTTCAACGATAGTGGTGATAATGATAAAAAATATTTATAAGCTATCATTTAGATACATTTTAGTCTAGTAAACACTACGTAATTGCATAGCTACACTAAGCATTTGGAAACTCTTTTATTATGAATCTTAAATATTATTTGTGAACCATTCTGTTTTTTTCTTGGGTGTTCCTTGACTGCCCTGTGTCAGCGTTTCTTTAAAAACAGTAACGTAACCACAGTGTCGTGTCTTGATTTTCGTCTGTTTCTTAGGAAGTGAATGATGTTCTTCAGCGAGTGTCGGGTGAGAGCCAACCTGTCCCTTTGTGGAGGACCGCTTCTACTGAAGATGTGGACACCGCAAAGGAGAAAGAAATTCCCTTGCTGTATTCATTCCGTCTTAACCTTAAGGTAATCGCGGCATGTACTAGATTGCTCTATTTAACTCATGTTAGTGTCGAATTTCTCTCTCATAATGATGTCTCTTGGGTCCCCTTCTGTTGCATTTTGACAATTTCACCAAATTTTGTAAGCTTTTCACCGTGCCATTGTTGGATAGACTTTTCCCACAGCAATCAACAGTTATCTGAGATATGATTCTTTGGCACACGGGACACACTTCTGGAGGCTTTTTTTCATCTTGCTTTTCTCTGTCAGGGAATCCAAGTGACAGCAACAACTCCTTCGTCTACCGCGGTGAGACTGGATACTGGTGAAGTGTCATTAGAGGTGTCCAACTCAGCGCCATCGTCTGGCCTCCTTCCTGGTCAGCTGAGGAGGAGTAAGTATTCAGTAATTTTTTTTTATATATGAATAAATTTATATACACTTGAAATATATTTATACACAAGAGGGAGGTTTCTGAAGAGACTGTGGTGCTGCTTCGGTGTATAATGAGATGATTTGCTTTCACCATTATTTTGATTTATAATGTAAATTGGCCGCCCGGCGAAAAGTTTCTAAAGGGCGAATGATAAAGGGCTGACGTTTGAAACGTCAGCTTTAGAAAGTCTTTACGATTATTTTTATGGGTCAGTCACAACGCGGTTAACTGATCAGCTAATTAAGCAGATGTCGGAACGAGACGTGTGCTTGGTTCTGAGTGCGGGAAAACTTACTGCTGCGCGAAATCAGACGTGGAAAACAGTTATGGAAAGGGCGGGAAAACAAACCCTAGCCTACTGCCAAAGTTACGTGCTAAGCGCGGGAAACTAGTACCCTGCATCTAGCTCGGAAATTTATTGAATTATTAAACCTGTGCTTCTGTGGTGTTTGTTGTAGGTAGCAGCTATGTGAAACTGTTTGGAAAAGCGCAAGTGGACGTTAATCTCTCTTTAGGACAATTTAACAAGGTAACAATTAACAATGATAATTTTGATAACACATAAGCACCCGAGTGGTAAGTTGTAGTCCTTTTTCTCCATCGACAGAGCCGCATCATAGACAACGAACTCGAATACCAGCAGTTGGCTTACTTCAAAACCAGGATTGGAGTCAGCAATTCATTTCAGGTACAGGACTCTTCGCTCAAATTTATTCCAAGTCGCGGTCTGGCGACCTAAAACCATAACATAGTTGTCAGAAATAACATGTTATTCGTAGGAACTCGCAATATAATACATCGAACTATACGCTGACCACAGCCCCACAACTCAACATGGTTCAGCTTATTACGTTACTAACGCTGCAGATTTAGGCGCCAGAGTTGTTTTCTATTACGCGTCATGGCGACCAGAAAAGGTCGGAGCCTCGAGAGTTGGCTAGTAGCCTCATCTTCAGATGAAAAATCAGCAAGTGCAACCTTCAGTTTGAACGACGATTAACAAGAATATACAATGGATCACTTTTTGTGGAATGATTGCAAGAGTAGCTTTTGAAAGTCCTATCTCGGTTACTTGGAAAAATGATGAGCCGTATCCATTTTTCATTTTTTTTTTTTTGCTCACAGGACAGCAGATCGTTAGCTGGCACAGAAGATAAAGAGACATTCCTGGTGACGTTGACTAAACCGTGTTTGTACGTACAGCAAGTGGCATTCGACAAAGGTGAAAACATTAAAATGATATAAGTAACCTTTACTCAGAGGTAATATTGATCGGGGAATGCCACAGAAACAATCATTACTGAACAAGAAGCAGGGGTAAACTGATTGCAGGTTTTTTTTGCGTGTGTAATTTAGTGGAGAACAGAATAATGAGATGTGATCGTTATTTCCACAAGGTATCTTAAAACATTTTTCTTTTTCTCTTGCAGTTTTGCCATATTTTCACTTTTTTTTAAACTTGAAAGGGGTCTGTAGTTTAGTTTCAAGGTGGTTAAGGGTTGAAACTGAAGAAATGGTACACAGAAGAGATACACTTTATATGGAATAGTATATATCTTAGTGCGCTTGTGTTTCACTGTATTCGGGCTGCAGTTTATAAAACATCTTATGTTCTTCGTTTTAGGGTTTTTTTCGGTTTTGTTCTGTTCTTTTTGTACACAGTAAGTAGCCAATAGTCTGTGGTACATAACACACATAACAGTAGGTAATGCATAATGTGTAGTACGCAAGAGATATTTTTATATACACGTAATAAATACATCGAACGTTTGAATCTCTTTTTTTTCAGCGGTTCTTGTTTATTTGAATTATAAGAACGCTTACGAACACTGGAACGAGCAACGCCTTGCGCTGAACAAAGAGGTTGGTATACACTTTGATTTATTCGAGACATGTTCGATTGCATGTTTGTGCTGTAATTAGAAGCCTACATAATCGTATGATAGTATTCTGTTCACGAGGCTAATTAATCTTTTGATGTGTTCAGAGTAATGCCGACAGCGTTTTCCCGCCATAATTAGCCGCAGCTGTCAGCGGCTTCTTCTGTTTTTCGCGCCACAGCTTTGTTTCTGTCCTCGTACACTCAAGTGCAGCCACTTCAGTTTTCTACGTGGCGCTCATGCGGTGTTCACGTGGCGCTCATGCGTTGTTCACATGGCGCTCACGTAGCGTTCAGGCATTGCTCACGCGGTGTTCGAATTCTTTCCTGCATGTGCTTCCTCCTTCTCAGATCTTGGTAAATTCCCGCCAAAATGTAACCATGTCCCCTCCTAATCTGTTTTCCACGTCTGGTGCTGCCTTCATTTCTTTTCCCTTGGCATATCAAATCTTTCAGGCCTTGATTCTTTTCGCACAGAATGTGAATTTTTTTACGTGATTGTTATGTACAGTCTTCTTGAATTTACTCTATCAATGATTCCACTCTCTTATACAGTGGCTCGAGGCGAACACCACAAGTGATGTTAGTACTGATCTTCTGATTTTTATCAACATGCACTCTGCAACTTTCCATCTTGTCCTTACACTCCCTATGAATTTTTTTTCGCCAAATATTTTTGTTTCGTACTTGCAGTTCGTTATTAGTTGATATCTTTCCAGACTGACTTATTGACGAAACTGGCCTTTTCTTCATTTACTTTTGCTCTCTCAATACGTCCTATCCTTTCAATCGTTTACGACACTTACATGTACAGCCTGAGACGTCTGAGTAGAGTGTATGAAACACTTAGACATAACTTATGTTGCTGGTGTTATTTTTGCACCGCTCCATAGCATAACAAACTGGTATCCATGTCCCATTTTAACAAATGTTTTCCAGATGGTCCATAACTCACGTATTTATGTGTACATTCATTCACAGCTAGTTAGCAATACACTTTCTCATCTATTTGGTAGAAGAATCAGTTTGTCGGTGAGTTAGACAGTCAGAACAAAGTGTGTGCGATCGAGTAGTTCTTTGTAGTTAGCCAAGAATAACAAGACGTTACTTAAAATGTTTTGTAAGTACATGTAATGCAGATAGTTATTTTTTTGTTTTGTTTCTATTTTCTTACAATGTTTTAAATGCACTATCCCTAAAATGTATTTTTGTTATTTTGCGACTTGTGGATGCAAAGGTTTTTAATGTTGAAACGAGTCACGCAAACGAGTGTAACGAAGTGAGAGATTAGAACAACAATGTTGATCATATGTTTTGTCAGACAGTCAGATAACATACTGTAGGTTAAGCCTTATTTGAAAGAGTAATGCACGCTGTAATTCAGTAGGCGCATTCTGTTTTGACTGTCGATAGTCATTTGCTATTCCAATTGTTGATTTACCTTGCTCTGTGATTGGTCCAGAAACTGTGGCTGCCCTCTCGACCAATCAGATGCTAAAGTGACACCAATTGTGACTTGGTCGCACGCGTTTTCTCGCGTTTCATTCGATTTTTCATTTGCTCCTTTCGACACTCATTCGATATGCGTTCTTCTATATTTCATCGTTCTAAACTGTTCAGGAAAAGTAGTTTTGAACGCAACAAGATGTGAGACGAAATTATTTTTTTTTTAAGTGTAGCAGACGAATTAAGGGACTTTTTCCCTCGATTCACTTCAGGTTCATTTTGCCACTCAAGCTGTGCTGGACAAACTGCCTCAGAGAGCCCCGTCTTCCCAGCTGTCGGGATCACTTTTCCTTCAACTTACTGTCGACCAACTTGGCGTTTGTATTCCCCTCTACAATGGCAATCAGGTTTGTAACCATTAATGTCGATGAGAAGAAACATTTAAGCGAAGAGTTTATGGTTTACCGAGGTAACGAGCCACGCGGGTTGTTGGATGAAGACGAGAAAAGCGCGTGAATTACGTCGATGTTCTGCCAGCTTTTCAAATGGAACCTATTCAGTTATCAGTATGCCCAATGGAGTTACGTCTTCTCTTTCCTCTTTCAGGGTATCGCTCAAGGCTTTCAAATGAGATATGCTGGTAAGTGGATCCTTGATAAGTTACAAGAGCACTCTCGTTTCTACATTAATTTGATTATTTTTTATCGTCTTGGATAATTTGCTTTAAATGATTGGTATGGAGCAAGACGCAAGAGTTAGTGTTGATAAGCGGATGACTAATGATGAAAAATGTTTGATCAGATCGCAAATAACTGACTTGAAAATGTCTCAGTGAAGGCAATTTTGTGTTGAGTGTCGGTAGTAACTCGTTATTGCATTGGTTGTTTTATCTTGCTCTTTGATTGGTCTAGAAAACCCAACCCACTCTCTCAACCAATCATAAGAAAAAGCTACGACCAATCGCGACCTGGTTCTGCACATTTTTACGGACTCTCACTTCAAATGCACTTTTATTTCCCTTCTTGTTTACGTGTTTTTAGAACAAGAGCCTGGTCCTGCTATGGTATTAAGGGTTGAACAGATGCTACTCACGTGTTGCTCAAGCGTCTCTTTTGTTAGTAAAGGAAAGTTCAACAGCTTCTGTCTTTGGTTCGCCGACAAATTTGATACCGACACTGAGGACTGGAAACCAAACTTTGAGTCTGGGTCAACGACGCGATGTAGTAGATGTAAGGCATTTTAGGCATTTCACTTTTTGTTTCCGTTGATGACTTTGAGCTGTGCCTTGAGTCAAATGAAGGGAGCTGAACAATTTGTCTTTATTTTTGTATTTCCAGGTGTTGTTCCCGAAGGAACTTACGAACTATGCTCCAGAACACAAAGGTATCCTGTGACACCAGGTAAGAGTCCTTGCAATTGAGAGGCAGAGCCCTGAGAGGATTGGGAATGAATATGACTCGAAGCTCCGCTGCTCGTTTTCGCACTCTGCCGTCTTGTTCACGATGCTTCTTCCACCAAGCACTATTAACCCTTAGATCCCTGAGAGTGATTAGCATCTAATTTCTTCTTACAGGATCATTCCTGAAAAAAGGAAATGAGCACCAACTTGAAGGAGCTCTTGATCGTTAAACGTTCTTCTTATCGGCACCTTAGAAAATATACAGAGAGCAGTATGGAGGTTATGCATACTTATGTTGGGTGTAAAGGGTGAATGGATTAAGAAAACTGGAAACCTAACAAGACCAGCAGTGGACAGGCGTCCCCCTGGAGACAAGCAACACACCTAGACGCGTGATACTAAAAAAAAAAAAAAAAAGAAATGAACGGGGGATGTCTTGACCCAAATGGGACATTAGGTTCGCAAGAGTAAAACCCTTCAACTTAAGTTGTAGCAGGTATTATAACCGTTTTTTCTTGTTCCATAACAGACATGATTAAAGCAGGGAAGTGGGTTATGTCCTTCCAGTGGCGCATGTGCGGTATCGAGTTACATTGCGACACCAACATTGGTAAGCATTTGTCATCTCTGGGACAAACGCTGACCGCTTTGGCTGGTGAGCCGGATGTGGCTAACATTGACTCGGTTACAGAACTGCAAGACAGGGACCAAACTCCGAGTACATCAGTCGGAGGCCGAGATGAGGTGGATAACATGGCAGGCATGGTGGATGGACGGAAATCTAAAAAAATCGAGAAAAATATGTGGGAACAGGCCCGCAAGGTTAATGAACTGAGGTTAGGCAGCAATCTATTTTTATTTTATTCCTTTTTTTGATTGCACCTGGTTGACGGTTGAATTTTTTTTTTAAAGAATCTGTGCCTTTGGTCTCTGTGAAAGAACTTACCGCAACAATTGAATAGGGATTTCTTTTCGCCAAATTTCAGACGAGCTTTCAATGTGGTCGCCAACTCTTTGCTACCAAGTTGTATCTTGACGACATTCAGATCAATGTCATTATCTGAGCAACTGTGCACCTACCCCTCCCCCAACCCAACATTTTCCCCAACTTGTTATAATCAGTTGACTGTTGTTTGGTTGGGGGGGGGGGTAGGTTCGTAGTTGCTTAGATACTTACATTCGTTGCCTCTAAGATTGCATTCGTAACGAATAGAAATTGTAATTAAAAGACTGCAAAATGATAGAAGTTTCATTGATTTTTTTTATGAATTTGCATAGGAGAAAAACCGACGTGGAGTCGTCCGTCATGGAACGAGAAACAAAACGACTTCAGGACCTTGAAAGCGCAGTCTTTAACGAATTTCGGAAAGACGTTCGGAAGAGGCTTCGGCGAAATTCTCGGTCTGGCCGATCGATCCATTCGAAGGTTGCCGATTCAGACCGAGGCAAAACTCACGGCAGGAAAGCTGTGTCCGAGAAGGTTCGGGGATCCAGAACTCGCTCTAGAGTGCGTCGCCAAGTGAGTAGCGACCAGGAAGACGTCGAGAGCGAAATGGTGGAGATGGGGTCACCGCGGAGACCTGAGAGATTTTCTACCAGCGATGCTCCGCTGATTACCTGCGAGGACGAGTCAGAGAACTCAATTTTCGGAAGATATTCGCCATCTCTTCCCGACATCATCAACGTTGGCAACAGCGCAGCTAAGTCGATTCATGAAGACACGCTCCCGTTGCGAAGCATGTTGCACCAAGAAGGAGAGGAAACAGGAGGACCCAGAGTGACTTTTAGGACCCCTAGTGAGTCGGATTACGAGAGCGGCTCGTCGCAGAAGTCATTCGCGACGCAGCATCAATCCCAACAACAGCAGACACAACAAAATCTTGATTTTGAGTTAGACGTGGCAGTAGAGATTGACAGTGGTCAGTGTGTATTTTATCCTGCTGATGAAGGGGAAAAGGACGACACTGCAGAAAGCAAGTACGTTATATCGCACTTACCGAAAACACCGGCGTATAAGCAGCACTCGCAGATAAGCAGCATCCCACGATTGGCAAATGAAAGTTTGGAAAAACTTGTAGCGGGCTTCCTGGCTTGGATATATATTCCAGCACAGGATCAGTGGCCCGAACCTTTTTCAAGCAAATAACTTCCAGCATCAGTATGATATCGAAATCAAACTTTCCACCAAATAAAAGTAAAGTCCTTTTTATTTGTCAATCAGATGACTAAATCGGGCTCGAATGCGGGATAGCACCGACAGGCTTGATTTAAATACCGGTAGTTTTTCTGATTTGCTAGGTGAATACCGCCTTTTTAAACAATCTCAAAGCCTACTGGGTAAAGTTTTGAATAATTCGCGACCCTTTATCAAAAAATTGCAAAGCGCAAGTTGGTTTTTACTGGTCTACAGTTAAAAAATATGGATTAGCGTGCGGTTTTGGTCCAAGATGGTACTTCAATGATTCACATACGCTGGGTGTTCACAGCAGAGTGTCTATTATTTTTCCCCAGGACTTCAGACAAACGATTCCAGTTGTATGATCCTGCACGCGGTAAATTTTCATCTCCACTGTTCCAGACTACAATTGGTCAGAAGCGACAGAAACAAAACGCACAAGAGAAACCTCAACCTGAAGATACAAAAGTACTGTTACCTGCAGTGGATGTCCGTGTCCACTACCATTCCACCATTGACTCTGAAAATGTCGGAGTCTCCGTTTCCCCGGGTTCTGTAGGCGGGAGTCCACCCACGATACAAGTTCAGCCAGAGACACCCACAGACAATTCTTCCTTTATCAGTTACGCTGAATCGACTGATCAAGAAGGTCGAAGCATGGATTCTTCATTCATTAGCTGTACCCAAAACAGGAAAATCGTCAAGAGAGCTGGTCTGTATGTATGGGTGTTGTTCCAGTCACTACCTCAGGAGATGGTGTTGAAACCACGTCTGTTAAGTTTTATTGAACAAGCTCTACAACCAATCAGCGTCCCAGATGGAGACGAAGTGGTCGACGGAGGGGGAGGCATAGCCTCAGGTGAGGACAGCGACACAGAGGTAGAGATGGGAGGCTCTGTGGTGTCATCCTCCATGTCCGAATATTCTTCCTTTCCTGTAGATGTGGTGGTCGTGATTCGTGTACAGCCATCTGATATTCGCTTCAGCTGTCTCCCTATTTCACGTGTGGAGTGTATGCTGCGACTTCCTGCACTAGATGTCGTTTTTTCCTCCAACTCCAGTCCCAACAAGTCTCTAGTACAAACGCCGTCTTCGCGACTCCTCAGCCGTGATCAATCGCGTCTTAGGACAGACCAGATGGAAAACAGCCTGCCTCCATCCTCGTTGACTTTTGACAGCGGTGGTATCAGCTTCACCGTATGCCTCTCCCGCTTTTCATTCTGCATCTTCCATCCATACGGGAAGCAGCACACAGGTCTGGGTCGCTCTCCGAGTGGTGGCTCCCCCGAGGCGGAAGACAACCTCGAAGAAAATCGCCCGCGGTTCCGTTTTGCACCGTCTCAACCCTTATCTGGTAAGAAGGACTCGCTGAGTTTGAATGTGGAATTCGTCAAGTTTAATTTGTCACGCAGAAGGGTTGGGTCTACTGGTGGCTCGACGGAAGATAAGAGTAGGACGCCATCACCTGATCTTCTGGCTGGGACGGGGACTGGATCCTCAACTGTTGTCAAGGTTTCTGGTTAGTAAAACATCACAAATAACCTTAAAACAAAATTGCTTCCTTACCCTTTTACATCAATATGGATATTCTCCATACTGTTCTCCATACATTTTCAAAAGTGCTGACAAGGAGAATTTGTTTAACAATCAAGAGCTTCTTCAGCTGATGATCATTTCCTTTATTCTTGTGACCTTAATGTGTGACTCAGAGGTGATATTTTTTAGGCGAAATTAGATGTCTGTCACTCTGAGGGGCCAAAGGGTTTAAAGCGAGGGCTTTTTATTACTACAGCTCAGAGACATACCTTTGAATTAATTTCTCGTAAGGTATCTGTGACATTGGCTCAGCAACCTTCAACTACGACATGCGCCGTTTGAACGAGATTCTGGACTTTCCAAAAGCTTGGTACAAGGGTGGACTTGTCCAGCGGTTATTCTTAGGAAAGGAGGGATCTTACGCCACGAAGACGTCAGCGATGACATCTGAAATGAGCCCTGATGCAGTTCCAATGAATAAATCCTCCGACGAGGACAGGAGAAGGTATTTCACAAGGAGTAACGAGAAAAACGTTATTGAAAGGATCATTTCGTTCTTAAATTATTGGTAATTGGGTGGGAGAGTGCGCCTATAATTGAAGGATATTCCCAGTTATGTTATCCAGAAAGCCTTCCAAGCACAACATTCGGTTTTGAATAATGGATTTTGAGTAATGCCTCGACCTTAAGCATTTTTATAACGCTTCAGTGAAAAAATAAAAATATATCCTTTTGTTAATGATTATAGATCTGTGTCTAAAAATTTTCTTAGAAAACTTTTGTCGTACCTCGTGAATGTGGTTTTCCTGATACAATGTAATTTTTTTGTTGTTGTTTTGTAGATCTTTGTCCCTCAACGAGAGAGAGACCTCTGCAGCCACTGCAACGCCTGCTAAGCTTCGAAAACATTCCCTATTTCGTTCCATGTCTGAGTCTCACGAGGAGCCGCCACCTGTCACTCCGGTAAAATCGCCCGTAAACAAACAAAGGCCAGGTCAGTCTAGGACTACTTTTACCACTCATAAAGGATGTTTTTTGTTACGTCACGAGCGCTAATCCAAGAAAAAAATTCACACCCTCCAAACTTTCGAGTTCCGACAGTCTTGTTCGCTACTACGACCTCAACCGATCACCTCATTTCTGCTGTTGGCGTAATCTGCCTCTATTAATTATCTCATCACGATTCTTTACTTCTAACTTGTAATCCTCGAATACTGGTCTCTTGATACTCCACTTCTGACCAATTCGGCGTATTCGTCTTCCACTAAAGACCACTTCATCCTCCTATCCTCCTCTGCTAACCAACTTATTTGCAACGTCTGACCAGTTTGTTTTCCTTAACGGACCTCCTTATCCACCATAACTTAACTCATGTTCCACCAATGCTGACTATAGCAGACCTCACCAACCCACTGTTGACCATTACTACCATGGACAAAGTCACCGCTTTCACTAAATCCTTTAACCTTTTGTTGTTGCTTTTGTTTATTTTTTTTTTTACAGGTCAACGGAAAATGGCGTCGTCTGGCAGTTCTTTCTTCGGCTTACTTCCTAGTTCTCCTGGTCTCTTGCGGTCAATGACAATTAGCGGAAATAGGAGCGGATTACTGAGCCCCTCTGTAACCTCGCCTCCAAACAGAAAACGGCCTTCAACCTCAGGTGGGAAACGATGAACTAATAAAATTCTTCGCGAGTGTAATTTTTCTGGTTTGTAAATTATCCAAATTGCACAATCTAATCAGTATCTATCACACACCTTGTTTCAGCTGGGATGAAAACCAACCTGCCTGAACGCCGTGGACTGAAAGTCATCGAAAGTTCATCAGAAACTGAAGTTGATGGTCCTCGGAGCCATTCATCTTCGTCCAGCCTCGCAGGGACTCGGTCCAAATGGGAGACAGTGGTTGTCGTGGCTGTTAATCTTTCTAGGTTGGACATGTCAACAAATATGGGCAGCGTGATGGGACAAACACTGTAAGAACATGTTAACTTTCCCACTTCTCTTCGCGTCTTTTCTTGTCACCCGTGATCGAAGAGTAAACGATCAAAAGTGGACCAACTCTAAGGGTCACATACAGATGGAAACATTCGGTGCCCTCGCAGGGAGAGAGCAAACGGCTGTTAAACGTCTTTAGTTTTGAGAGCCTCTTGTATTCCTTGGTTCAAAACTATTTACTTGCAGAAGTAATTCGAAACTTTTGAAACAAAGCCTGAACATTTCTTTCAATCAGCTTGATGCAATGTTGATTTCGGTCGTGAGCAGCTCAAAACACATATTCAGTGGTTGGCAAAAGTAGTTGGCATGCATCCCTCAGTGGGGGCTCCACAACCCTCCACTCAACATGATAAACATATCTAGTTTCTTAAAAGTCACCCCTCTTCTCCTAAACGATGTTGCCAGGTGGTTACCATCGTTTAACACCAAAACTAGCACCAGGTAATGTTGAAATGAAGGAGAGGGAGAGGTAAAAGAGGGATTAAAAAAAAAAAAAAAGAATCCAAAAGTATTGGAGTGTGCTTAGAGTTTTACCACTCATTGTAACCCTATGAATTTCTACTTTCCTTTCATTATTTTTCTAAGATGGAGTACAAGTGACCTTCGTTCTCAGTGTCACATTACTCTCACAAATATGGGTCGCCGTGAGCTGAAGGGATCTGTGAGTGTTCGCCAGGCGGTGTATGAGGCACGAAGTGGTATTGTCGGCGGACATGTTGAAATACAAGAGCTCAAAATGCGAGGTAGGAAAAACACACAATCGACTAAGTTATAGAGGGCGTGCAAAGAGACCTTACCGCCCTTGCTTTTTTAATGAACACTCTGCTGTTGACACGCATGTCGACGACGTTGGTAATTACAGGTTACGTGCTTTAACAAGAATAGCAGTCAGGTTTTCCATTTAGAGAAGTCTTCAATTGCGTGTCAATAGACCAAAACCAAAGTAATGCCATCGACCAATCGATAAAGGTTTCAAAACAAGTAAAACACAAGTAATAGTAATCCTTGATTTACAAGAAAACATACAGGAAAATGGCACACTTTTGCGCTATTTCGTTGGAAGCTATCTCAGTGTTCAGTTGGCGTCAATTAACTGTAAAACGCACGAATCAGCTGGGTGAAATTTTATTTTTATAAAACACGTCAAAGTAATGAAACCAGCCGTGTTGAAAAAAGAATTAGCCATCGATGAAATTACAGTACTTCAGACAAAGTTTAGATTTTAAGTAATTTTGCACGGGAAATTACCAAAATAAATGAAAGACACTCTCTGACTCCACCAATCTGGATTTGGTGATCATGTCCTCTATGTTATAAAGGAAAATAAAGCTCCGCCATTTATCCAATCAGAGCGCCTGTTATATCGGTGAAAAACTTCAGAGTTATCTTAAAATTTCATAGAGTGCTGGCAAATTATTATTATTTTTTTGTATTTAGCCCAAGTCAACGAAGAGCGAGGCTGTAACCCACAGCATCTTATTCACTTGGGTCTACGGTACGCTGAGGCTCGTATTGACTACATGGGAACATGTATACTTATGGGAAACCTCTCCGCGTTCAAGACTGACCTGCGTGATGAATGGACGCTACAGGAGACAAAGAGCCCTTCCACCGGTGAGTAGGTTGTTACTTGTGAAAAAAACCCCTCACAGGGAGTAGCAGCCAATCAAACAAGCCTCAGAGAGCTACGTTCACAAACTAGTTTCTGTGGGTCAGCCTAGTTGAATGTCTTAAGAAATTGGAGCTGAGTTTTCTTCGTATTGTTATGTACACGTGAAACGAAGAACTGACCGAATGATACTGGATATCCCTTTCCTCCCCCCCCCCCCCCCCCCCCAAAAAAAAAAAAATTGAATCAACAAGTTAAGGGTGGGAATCGTTTCTCTTAAAATCCAATGGCATGGTGTGGTTGGCTGAGTGAGAGTATTCCTTAATAGCATTGTTCCCAATTTTTTTGTGAAAGAAATTTTATTTGACCTGCGGATGACAATTAAGAAGAGAGATGGTCCTCGTAGATTGATTTCAATTTCGGCAGTTACGGGAAAAAAACCTGAAAAATTCAGGCTTCGACGGAATTCGAACCCGTGCCATCCAGATATTGGTTGTTGATGTTTAGAGAAAGAAGTTCCTATGAAGGTAGTTTTCTCTCGCAAGTGAAGACAAGGAAACAACTTTCAGTTATGTTATGATGAAATGTAAGTTTTGCTTGTTTTCCAGACTCTCTATTCGAACAGGAACGTGAACCAGTCAACGCCAAAATCTACATGCACGGGGACTTGGCGTGGAATGATTTCAAGATAATGATTTGTCGTTCCACTACACCCGACATAGTCAAGATGGTCGCCAAGATTCAGGAATTCGTTGCCCAGCAACACCGAAACAGCATCCGCGCATTGTCCTCTCTTCGTCCTCACATACCTCTCATCACGGGGGATGTGATGTCGTCACTGTCTACGCCAGTCTCCACGGGATCTCAAGTCAAAGAAGAAAATAAAGATGGTTGGTAGTGTTTTTTGTGTTACGAAGCCCCTGTTATAGCGAAATAGTTATATTAAGTTCCGCAGTGAAAATACCTATTTTTTTTTCTCAGTTAGTTATTAGAATGTATGAGGAGTAGGAAAGACTCATATCAGTGTCATGCTATCTTTTCTAAAGAGACGATCGGAATTTCCGTTTAGGAGACACAAAGTGTTCCTAACTACTATATAGGCTATGAAATATACTTGGAAATAGTGAGAAAAGACTCCAAGGAGTCTTGCATTTGTGTTGTTATATGGGCTCCGCTTCTCCTGTTGATGTTTACTTCACCTTTGAGTTTGTGATCTGTACTCACCGCGAGTATTAAAGAAAATTAATTTCACGAAAGGAAGACTGACGCAAATCTCGTATTGACAGGTCTGAAATATCAACATTGGGGAAAAGTTCTGAACGCGGTCAGAGGCCTTAAACTGAGCATGCTCAGTAGTCCCCTACCAGAGAGAGGTGTGTTGCTTGGAGGGAGCTTGACTTTACACGGCAAGGCTGTCTCTCTGGCATGTTTTCACGGGGTGAACTTTCGCTCCCAGTCTTGGGTATTGTTCACGCTTCAGAGACCATATATGACGTTTACAAGCAAGGTGTGCACAATAGAGAAAAGCTGTCAAGTTAGGCGCGTGAAAGCCGTGCAGGATCTGTCACTCAAATTGGGGCATGGTGCAGAACACTCTCTCAGTGGAAAACTCTCACCTTCTTCAGGTAAGGACGGAGTTATTTGGGGTGAAAAAGTGAACTTTTCAAGAATTGAGTCAAGTCTATATCACAAGGAAATATTTAAAAACTTGCTTCTGTGGAAGGGGTTGAACCACTCCGCGAAAGTTTTCTTTTAGTTAATGTTACCCATCATTGTCAAGCCGTAAAAGGTTTAGTAGCGACAAATTAGAAGTGAATCACCTTTTTTCACAGCGCACGTGGGAATCGTCCAAAAAGTTGCTCGTGGTAGGAGGAACCCCCCATCTATGGGAAGCACTGTCCAGGATTGGCTCAACTATGTTTGTGCAACCGGGGGGGACATAAGCCCGTCTGATAACACCGCCCCCAGCAGTTTTGATAAGCCTCGAGAACGCTCAGAGTCCATGACAGCATCTGGTAAAGTTGCCTCGAAAGAACGACGAGCAAGTATCGGTTTCCGATACGAACACGAGACGGAGGCGATATTCGCTATTCCAAAGTTTGAGATGGAATTTAGATCTGAACACGACATGCCAATGACGTCGATCGCCTCCAAGTGGGTCCGTAAACAAAAATGGTGAGAAATGAGAGGGAACAATTAATTTTTCGTCCTTCAAAATTTGTTTTTGAATCTTAAGCGTTTCACTCACCATGAAGATACTGGATCAGTGTTTGTATCTAAGCAATTGTGCGCCTACCCCTCCCCTAGCCCAACAACAGATAACAAGTCTGGGTTAATGTGGGGTTAAGGGAGGGGTAGGTGGACAGTTGCTCAGATACTGACATTTCTCTTAGTTACTTCGGCTGTGTGTCGTTAATCTTCCGTTTAAATTTAACCAATGTTGGTGTTGCGTTACTAGCGCACCGGTGGTCATGCCCATGGCTGTGACACCAGCCAGTCCGCACGTGGTGGAGACAAGCCTTACATCAACCTTTGATGATGGGCTTTGCGTAACAATAGATGTAGGTCTTTTGTTCTTCTTACATGACGTGGTACAGACGTATATTAAAGAAAACGAGACCACGACTTCAGGTGCGTAAAAACAAGTGTGTAAGATTTACTGAACTCATGTGGAAAGGTGCATATATCAAAGTTGTGCAAAATTGAGGGCAAGCAGTAACTCGTAAAAGTTGTTCCTGGAGGCTTTCAAAAGCAGTCAACTGATAACAAGTAGGGTCAATGTTGGGTTGAGGGGGTGAGAAAGTGCGATATTTCTCGGAAAATGACATTGATCTGAACCATCTTATCCAGCACGATAAACAGGGCAACATGAAAACGCTTCCTGGAACATTTAATGTTAATGGTTACCCATTAGTCTCTCGTAAAAATTGCATTATGCACCTTGCATGACATTTTAAATGGTACTTCGTAACATATCTGCTTGG